CTGGCATAGCCCAGGCACTCCGAAAGAAGAGAATGTGCTACTTAAAAGATAATGAGGAAACAATCTTGGCAGATGCGATTGATCCCACTGTTTTATAGCACAGGGATTATCAAAGGATTATCTAACAATAATTATGCACACAAGGTCGACACATTGCTTTCATGTTCACGCTGAGAGTGGCAGCCAGGTGTGCGTGATAGAAAAATGGGTAAGGCTGCGTAAGGGTGTAAATGTGGCTATCACCGTGTAGGCATATGTGTGGAAAAAGGGGACGTAAAGCTTGCTGGCAACCCGATCATCAAAACATCGCACAACCCAACAGTCACTTATCAGCACAGAACACATGCCAGGAAATTCAAAGCAAAAAAAAAAAAGAAGAGATATCTACAATGCCAGCAGCAACACCAACTCATGGGATTCCCCTCCACCCACCCTCTACATCCCCACCCCTCGAACGGAATCTGGAAGTTTGGGATGAGCCGAGGACAACCAGGAAACTCCCTCTTGGTGTCTGCGGGGTGTGGATATAAGGCGTGATTTCTCCCAGTGGAGTTAATTGCTGATCAACACACCTTTGCAGCTCATTCGCTGACCTCACATATACAACGCAGATAGCACAGATAAAGACGAGCATTCCTGTGATATCACACGCATGAATGTATAATTGCTTTTTCTCTCCAACCACTGCGTTCGGCTATTACTGCAAAACCTCCAGGGAGAAAGCACAAAAGGTATTGTTAGCTTTACTAAATGTGCTTCGTAGCAATCTTTTAATAAATCGGTCTCTGTTCTGTTGAAACAGTAGCTTTTTTTTTCTTTTTGGATTTTGATTGATGTTAAAATCTAAAACAACGGATAGAAAATAGAGTCAGTAAAGTTTCTTTTTTGACTATTGTGCTCAAGACTGAATGCTGTTATCAAAGCTTACACATGACTCAATACGACCCATACTAAACTGCATCAGCTCGGTAGACAAGGTGGACTGGTGTGTTGTTATTAATAGGCTATTAATGCCAGCCACTTGAACCTGTTCAAGTGCACATTACCATGGATGCATAATCACCCAGTAACATGGCAGCAACTCAATGCATTCAGGCATGCAGACGTGGTCAAGACGACCTGCTGAAGTTTGAACTGAACATCAGAATGGGGAATAAAGGTGACTGAAGCGACTTTGAACATAGTATGGGTGTCGGTGATAAAAGGGCTGTTTGAGTATTAAAGAAATTGCTGATCGACTAGGATTTTCTCACAAAACCATCTCTGGGGTTTAAAGAGAATGATCCAAAAAAAAAAAAGGAACGGGAAACTGAGGCTACAATTCGCACGGGCTAACAAAATTGGACAACAGAAGATTGGAAAAATGTTCCCTTGTTTGTCGAGTCTCGATTTCCGCTTTGACATTCTGATAGTAACAACAAAGCATGAAAACATGAAGCCAGCATCAACAATTCCAGCTGCTGCTGGTGTAATGGTGTGGGGGATTTTTCTGGCACACTCTGGGCTACTTAGTACTCTCTGGGCATCATTTAAAAGCCGCCTAGCTGAATATGCCTGTTGACAATATTTATCCCAATATTTTACCCATATTCTGATGGATCTTCTCATGGCTGATTCCAGGAGGATAAAGCATCACATCACAAACCTCAAATGTGATGCTGCTCCATTAATATGAACCCAAATTTCTGGGGAATGCTTCCACCGACTTTTTGAATCTATGCTGTGAAGAATTACGACAGTTCTGAAGGCAAAAAGGGGGCTAATCCAGCACTAGCAAGGTGAAACTGATGAAGTGGCTGGTGAGTGCATGTTAACTGGAACAGTCCTGAAAGCAGCCAGACAGATGGAAGGGTAACGGACACTTAGTATCTGATTAGCTGCAGCAATGGAGGCAGTTTCAGATTCACAAAGTTCAATTGAACACTTATTGCGATAGAGAGCTGTTGCTACTGTAATAATGTGTGCAGGAACAGAAGTCAAAGAGACATATTTATGACTATTACACAGTCTGGGAGCAAGCCTGTAGATGTAAGACATTCAAACATTCTTAAACACAACACACACACACAGAATCTGCAGATAAAGAGTTTCTTTGAAAACATTCATCTTTGAGAGCATCCATCCATTTTTCTTAAGCCTATCAAGTTCAGGGTCACGTGGGCACTGAAGACTCTCAAAGCAGCCAGGGTATTCTATAGCGACTCGACATTGATAGTTTGCTACATAACCGCTCACACCCTTATGGATTTTACCCTTTAGCTTTAGCTGAAGTAAAGCCATTGCACCAGTCTATTTTAGGGTTAACAAAGAGATAATTCACATCTATGACCAATTAAGAGTTGAAAATCGACCTCTCATGCATGTCTTTGATTTGTGGGAAGATGCTGAAATACCCAGAGATAACATGGGGAGAACACGCAAGCGCCACACACAAATGCCCAACTCGAAACAACAAATCCCCAAACCTCACTGCAAATACGCATTTATTGTCAACCATTCTCTGAGACAGGAAAAATATGGTGATTGCACCATGTTGTCAACACCACAAGCAATGCTCTATTCATCTCCACCGTGACAGGGCATCACATTGTGGCGGATATGTAATAACCTCACCAGACAGCATTAAAAGTATATGGGAACACATGAATTCGAGCGAAAGCACCCTTCAAAAGAAATCCTTTTTTTTCCCTTGTAACTTGGCAACTATATCACACAAGTCCAACATATCCAGAATATTTAATTTCGCTTCACTTACCCTAAAATCAGCAAGTAAGCTCTGTGTTCGCACGAAGATGGTAATCAACTCATTGAGACAACTCAAGATTTCCCAATCTAGCTACGCTGGGAGTCAAGTTTACTGGCAGCAATCACACTGTGCCATATTTTCAGAAGATGATGAAACAAAAATATTAGAAAAATATTGCAGCCAAAGAAAAACTCTATATAGCAGTATTGTATTGAAGTTTATTTACTCATAACAAAAGCTGCCTCAAAAGCACTGTCTGAAAATAGCTACGCATTTGAAGCATTTTTGACCAGTAAGACTTGTTATTAAAATAAGTTAGTAAAACTCTCTGAAAACTATAGACACTCTTATTACTGATTTCCAGGATTTGGGACACTACTTTCCTGAGAACTGACCTGATAGCAGGCAGTGAATTTGTATGAGTTCATCTCTTATCTCAAACAAACTAGCTCTGGGGAAGGTTAAGTGTCCAGGATAAGCTGGTGTTGTATGCTGGTAAGAGGTAAACCGCCTATGTAACAAAAAACCTCATAGGTAAAGCTGACGTTTCCTCTCTAAGCGTCGTAATACTGCCTGCTGCCTGCCACCATTTCTATCCAACTTGAGCACCAACAACACTTGCTCTGATTCTAAACACTTTCCATGCTAAATTAACATATTATTGCAGATATTAATAATCGCTAGATAAGTATCCATCAGCTGTCCATGCTCGTTAGATACTGAATACTCATTTTCATGCCAGTTTTGACCATTGACTGTAGAAAACATGGAAGACACGACAGCTCCCCAAAAATGAAGCCAAAACGTCTCTATCGCCCCCTTGTGTCTGGCTGCAGTATAGGTCATAAACCCCGCCTCCTCCATGTTAGCGGATGGGACTGCGGTCAGACTAAAATAAATTAATTCTCCTTAGATAATTTTTTTCCAAAGATTCTTTTGTTTTCAATAGTTCTCATCACGCTGATTGATGTTCAAGGGGTCTCCTTTCCCATAAGTTTGATTCTAATTCCTACCGCGGTGATATTAAATTGGGGTGAAACGTCATCATAAGAGCTTTGACTGACAGCTGCAGTCACGGAGAAACTTGCGTATCTCTGTTCGCGAATAGCAGATAGAGCGTAGGCTCTGAGAGGACGCCCAGTGTTTACGCTACGAAAACACGACCGAGTGTTTTAACCTGACAGCCTGAGGTGTTCTTCAGTAAACTGGAC